GGAGGCAGGTGGATTACTGCGTTAGTTTAGCGGGGGGAGGATGCGATAATGGTTTGCCCAGGCTGGGGGCAGTTGGTGGAAGGGGGACAGGACCTAAACATTGGTTTTGTGTTATTTCATTTAATCTTCTTTTTAAAACTCTTTATTTTGTAGGCATATTAGTATAATGAACTCCCATAAGCCCATCACTGAGCCCCAAACACCATCAACCCACGGCCTGTCCTGCCCCCTCCACACCCATCTGTCGCATCCCCATCCTGTGCCATTGAAAGCAAATCCCACATGTCATGTTTCATGTGTAAATCTTTCAATATGTATGTCTAAGAGAGAAGGACTCATGTTAAGAAGTAGCCACAAAACCATAATCCCTCTAAAAGAAATGAGCAGAAATTCCTTAACGTCACCAAAAATCCCCTTCTCCCACATGTATTTTTTGATGCGTCTGGGCCTCCCTCTCTTTACCATAAAGTGAGCTTCACAGTGGCCCCTCCTCCCAGGCTATTGTGAGGGAACCCAGGTAAGATGCTGAGCACAGGCCTCGCATATAGTGGGTGTTCAACACGTGACAGCTGCTACTGTTAGGGATTGATGACAAACACTTATGGAACATTTGCTTAGGTTTGGGCTCTAAGTACTTCACGAATATGAATTCACTTAATTCTCACAACAATCCTTGGAGGTAGGTTATTATTTCTGTCCCTATTTTATGGGTGAGAAAACGGAGGCACAGAGAGGTGGAGTCACTTTCCCAAGGTCACACAGCTAGAAAGGGCCAGAGCTGGGTTTTGAACCAAGACAGTCTGCCTCTTAATCCCCATGTTATGGGCGTTATGTGAGCCCAGAAACAGAGGGGTACCTTTCTCAGTTGGGGGCAGGTAAGGTCGGGTGTTGCCTGTGGTCAGATAATAGGTACACTGGAGTTCATGGGGTAGCACAGGGGCAGAGGAGGTGGATGGTGAAGCTTCAGGGAGGGATTAGCCTGTGCAAAGATATAGAAGCTAGAGGGTAATGATGAGTTGAAGGGAAGGTCAAGGGGTAAGGAGGAGAGAGCATGCAGCAGGCCCTCCTCCATCCTTAGCCTTAACCTTGTAAGCTTTAAGGGTTTTGGCCATCTTGCTGACCACAAGATGAGGAGGGTTGGAACTTCCCAAGGGCACACATCCAGGGTAGGCCACCTATGGGCTTTGAGTGGGGGGTCGGGGGGAGAGGGGTTGAGGTCAGGCTGACTGTGTGCAGGGGCCTGGCCACCAGGTGCTCCTGCCCACCAATCTCTCTGAGGGAGTTACTGTAGGCGTGTGGGTGTGTGTGGGGGGCACTGTGTTTTCTCAGAGCAGAGAAGCAGTCAGAGCTGCTGGCAGGAAGCAGTGGGCACCGTGAGCAGGGCCAGCTGGTGACTGTCCCCCCAAGGCCCATCAGCCAACAGCTAGTGGGGATGCGGCAGCTGGGAGGCCCCAGGAGAGATGACCTTGGCGAGGTTGGGAGAGAACAGACGTCACCTCAGCGTTCCCTGCGATCACCCCCTGATACTGGGGTGTCTGCTGAAGAGCTCTGGGCATGCCAGGGCCTCTGTCCAGGTGTAGGTGCCGAGGCCCCAGGGGTGGCATGACTTGCCCAGGGTCACGCAGGGATTCTGGGGGAGGCCTTCCCCTCAGCCTGTGGTGGGCAGCCCTCATCAGTCAGGCCAGTTGGTACCTGGCTGGTCCCTGGTACCTGCCTGGTCTGTGGGTTTGGAGCCAGCATCTCCTTTTCCAGCTTCACCTCAGCCCAGCACTCTTGGGTCGGGAGCTCCAAGAATCTTATCTTTAGTCGCAGGGCCCACACCCTCATTCGAGCGCCGGCCTCCGCCTTGCTGTGTGGCCTGGGCCTGGGCACGCCCCTCTGTTCTCTTCACGCCTGTCCAAAGGCCGGCCGTGACCCAGTTAGGCCGGGACGCACTCAGCCAGATCTCTCAATCGATAACTCGCTGCACCCCTGACTTTCCCACCTTAGGGCCTTTGCACGTGCGGTGCCCACCTCCCGGGCTGCCCTTCCCGTGCCTCCTTACAGATGCAGTGGAGAGAGGATGGCTTTGGCATCACTGTGATCTGGGTTGGCATCCTCTCTCTCTACTTCCTGACTGGGGCAGCTTCCTGGCGCCCCCACGTCCTCAGGACTAAAACGAGTGTGGCCACAGCTTGTTCCAGGGCTGTTGGGAGCACTGAAGGGGTGGCATGAACCCCAGGTGGGAGGATGTGAGGGGGAAAAGCGTGGGTCTCAACACCCTCATCAGCATGCCCCACTTCACCTCCCCTGCCTGCACTGGAAGAGGGGCTGGGCAGGGGGCCGAGTTGGCCCTGGACCGTACCAAGAAGAGTCCAGGTGCAGGCTTCTTTCTTGGGCCCTTCCCAGGGTTTCTGGGTAGCACCCCTCCTTAGGGAGAAGCTCAGAGTGGGAGGGACGTCTAACTCAGCTGCTAGAAGGTGGGATTTTAATTACATCATTGGCCTATCTGTGCTTCAGTTTCCCCACCTGTGAAAAGGGATCAGGAATGGCACATAGTAGGTGCTAAATAAATATTAATCGTTACTACTGTCATTATTGATGTACCCCCACTCGGAGGCAGGAGTCCTGTCTATATTGAAAAGCCACCTGTAGAAAAAATACCCAGTTGAGTAGGAAATTTTTTTGAGTCTGAAGGAAAAAAATGGAATCAGGTAAAGATCCCTGCCCGTGGGGAGCGTCCCTTCTAGTGTGGGTGGCCACAGGGGAGGCAAGAAAGGGACGCAGCCCCCATCTGTGAAATGGGCACGTTGGATGGCGCCAGCTCCCATGCTGCTCCGGGCCCAGCTTCATCCTCTGTGGACAGGGCCGGTGCTGGCGGTTCCTGCCCCACAGTGCTGTGGTGAGAAGGATGGAGCATCAGTGGGGGCCCAGCCTTGGGCGTTTAGAGGGGTCGTATATTCACTCCATAAGTGGTCCTTCTTGGGCTTGTAGCCTTGGGCCAGCCACTCTCCCTGCTCCAGCCTCCATTTCCCCAAATGGAAAACGGACCGTCCCTGGTATAAGGACACCCAGCGAGAGCCAGTGGTAAGAGGCTGATAGTGGTCTGGGGCCGGGAGGGCCAGGAGGGCCAGGGCTCCCAGCAGGCCCTCTGCTGTCTGGGATGGTGGCCAGGGCACCTGACTTCCCTGAGCCTCCTTCTGCCCCCTCCTCTGAAAGACATAGCTGATGGCCCCTGTGGAGCAGAGTCCTGGTGAGAACTGGAGAGCAGAGCAGTGACAGGAAATAATAATGTTAGCAGCAATAGTAAGGGCGCATTTATCAAGCACGGCCTTTGTGCCCAGGGCTTGGCGTGGGTAAGCTCATTGGCCTTTGCTACTGCCTGGGAATGACTATGGGCATCTCCATGGTACTGAAGAAGGTTTTTGTGAGAGAGAGAGAGAGAGAGAGAGAGAGAGAGAGAGAGACAGACACCTTGGTGTGAGAAAGAAAGAAATATTGGTCAATCACCTCCCATAAGTGCCCCAACCAGGGTTTGAACCCACAACCTGGATATGTGCCCTGACCAGGAATGGAACCCACCACCCCTTGGTGTACCGGATGACGCTCCAACCAACTGAGCCACACTGGCCAGGACTGAAGGAGATTTTGATTGATTTCCCAGAATCCTCCCTGTGTCACAGCAGGGGCCCATGGTGCTATACCCCACGTGGTTTGGGCAGGCGCCTGATGGGGCCTTTGTGTTCCCCTCTCTCCACAGGCAGGATGATGGCTGCCAATGGGCCGTGTCCATCCCCACCGCCTCCTCCCTCCTCTGTCCCCACACATTCCTGCCACAACCTCCACCACCCACTCTTCCCCCCCTGCTGGGCCATTGTTATCAGGAGACATTCCTGGACTGCCTGAGAACAGCTTCCACCTGGGGCCCTTCGAGAGGGGGTGGGATCCCTGATACAGGCCCTGCCAGTGGCTCCCTTGGGGGTTGGGCCCTGGGGCTGTGAAGCCCAAACAGTCTGATCCTGCCTGCTGATGCTGTCTCTTATGAACTGTGTGACCTTAGGCAAGCAACTTTGCCTCTCTGTGCTCAGTTTTCTCATATGCAAAGTGGGGCTGTCCACATAGGGCTGCATTGGGTCTCCTGGGCTCGTGTGTGTTGTGCACTTAGCATGGTGTCTGGCATGCAGGAGTCTCTCTACCCATCAACTAGCTGTTATCATCTGAGAACCAATTGTCCCTCCTCCTTGTGGGCCCCCAGTTTAGACTGCATGTGTACCCATTGCTGGTGCTCGGAACACATGGTCTGAGGATCTCTGGTGGCCCCCATCTGCTGAGTGCACATCAAGAGGGTCCCTGTGGGCTTTCTCTTCTCCAGGCCTGTGGGACTAGGAGAGGGCAGAGCTGAGAGCTATTTTCAGAAGTTGAGAACCTGCTGTGTGACCTTAGGCTGCACGCACCTCTTCCGCTCTGAGCCTCCTATTTTGGGTCTGCTCTGTGAGCACTTGGACCTGGGTAAGGCCCTAGGCCCTCATTGTCCCCATCACTGCACTGTCTGTAATTCCTTCCTTGGCTGGTCTTTTGTGTGTCTCTCCCTCTATGGTGCCTGGCGCATAGTAGATGCTCAGCTAAGCTTTGTTGAAGGAGCCAATCGATGCACAATGACTGAGTGAAAACCCAGGGCTTTCCTAGTAACAGGCCCTTTGCCAGGAGCATTCATCCCCAGTAATCTCTACTTGTGGAACTCCTTGTCCTCAAAGCTCTTCTCAAATGCTTCCTCTGCCAGGAAGCCTTCCCTGGTTTCTCCCAGTTGGAAGGGATTGCTGGTGCTCAGAACACGTGGTCTGAGGATCTCTGGTGGCCCCCGCTACAGTCCACCTTGGTATACGTAGTACCATGTGAATGATCAACTAGACCCACGCACTTGCTAGGAGCCACACGTGGTGGGGAGCCCTGTGCCTTCGAGGTCTTATTTAATCCTCCACAACAACCTTGCAAGGTAGCTATGATTATTGTCCTTCCCTTTGCAGACTTCAGAGGCTCAGAGAAGTGAAGCAGTTGCTCAGCTATGAGAGAGTGAGCCAGGATTTGAAACCAGGTAAGCCTTTATTTTTTCTTAAAAGGGAAAGAAAAAGCATTAATACACACACAGTAAAAAATGATTCAAACAGAACAAACGAAACAGGAGAAAGAAATCTCTTTGCACCCAGGTATCCTTGCCAAAGCTATCCATTGAGAGGTGTTTCTGGTGTGTTCTTCTCGGGAGATCCAGGCATATATAAGCATAAATGTCAGAAAAATTATTTTGAAAAAGGTAGCACATGGTATACCCTGTTCTGTACCTGTGTTCTCTTAACGGTACCTTGGAGATAATTCTGTGCTGCTTTCTTTTTTTAAAAAATTTAAACCTTTATTGTTGAAAGTTTTACATATGCTTCTTCCTTTCTCATGGTTGCATAGAACTCATGGTGTAGATGGAGAACACGCTTTACTTAATCAGCAAGGAATATTTTGGTTGTTTCCAGACTTTGCTTAATTATAGACAATTCTGCGATGAATATCCCCAGCCACACGCTTAGCGTTCATGTGTGAGAATGCCTTTCAGAGAATCCCAACTTGCAAGGTCATAGTGTGTGTGCGGTTGTAATTTTGATGTATATTACCAGATGACCCTTCAGGGAGGCTGCGCTGGTGTACCCTCACACCATGCCATCTGGTTCGCCTCACTCTCACCAACACAGGTTGCTTTAGTTTTCCCCCTGTGAACTTTAGTTTTTAATTTTTATTTATTTCAAAAAAGTTTTAATTGAATTTATTTGGATGACATCCTATGTAATAAAACCCTAATATGCAAATTGACCAAACGGTGGAATGACTGGTTGCTATGAACTGACCACCAGGAGGCAGATGCTCAATGTGGGAGCTGACCCCTGGTCAATGTGGGGGCAGATGCTCAATGTGGTCAGTGCGCTCCCACAGGGGGAGCGCCGCTCAGCCAGAAGCCGGGCTCACAGCTGGCCAGCACAGTGGTGGTGGTGGGAGCCTCTGCGGCAGCACTAAGGAGCAGTGAGCCCAGTGGTAGGGAGCAGCAAGCAGGCAGGCGGTAAGGAGCAAGGGGTCCCGGACTGCAAGAGGGCACAGGCCGGGCTGAGGGACTGTCCTCCCCCTCCCCCCGCCCAGTGCACGAATTTCATGCACCAGGCCTCTAGTTGGTTAATAAAACCATACAGGTTTCAAGTGTACAATTCTATAACACATCATCTGCCTACTGCATCAGGTATTCACCACCCAAGTTTTTTTTTTTTTTTAATAGTACAGCTTTACTGAGAAATATTTCACATACCAACCAATTCACCCATTTAAAGTGTACAACTTAATGTTTTTTAGTATATTCGCAGAATTTTGCAATCATCACCACAGTCAATTTTAGAACATTACCCCAAAAAGAAACTGTGTACCCATTAGTCACTCTCCACTTCCTCTCAGACCTTCTTCCCCAGTCCCAGGCAGCAACTCCTCTAGTTTCTGTTTCTATGCATTTGCCTATTTTGGACATTTCTATGAAATCATACAAGATGTCTTTTGTGTCTGGCTTCTTTCACTTAGTATAATGTTTTCAAGGTTAATTCATGCTGTCGCAGTACTTCATTCCTTTTTCTTGCCAAATAATATTCTGTTATATGGATATGTCACATTTTATTTATCCATTCATCAAGTGATGGACAAATGGGTTGTTTCCACTTCTTGGTCATTGTGAATAATGCTGCTATGAACACTTGTGTACAAGTTTTTATGTAGATACTTTTTTCTTCTTAGGTATATACTTAGGAGCAGAACTTGTGACTCAGATGATAACTCTGTGTTTAACTTTTTGAGGAAATGCCAGACAGTTTTCCAAAATGGCTCCACCATTTTACATTCCTACCAGCAATGTGTGAAGTTTCCAGTTTCCCACATCCTTGCCAACAACTTGCTGTTATCTGTCTTAATTGTAGCCATCCTAGAGGGTGTGAAGTGTTATCCCATTGTGGTTTTGATTGGCATTTCTGTAATGACAATGGTATTGAGCATCTTTTCATGCAGTTACTGGCCCCTGGTATATCTTCTCTGGAGAAATGTCTATTCAAATCCTTTGCCCACTTTTAAATTGGGTCCTTTGTCTTTCTGTTGTTGAGTTATGAGAATTCTTTGTATATTCTGGATACAAGTTCCTTATCAGATATGTGGTCTACAAATATTTCCTCCCATTCTTTGGATTCTTTTTACTTCCTTGATGGCGTCCTTCGGCACATAGAAGTTTTTATTGTTGATGAAGTTCAGTTTAACTTCTCTTTTTTAGTTTGTGCTCTCAGGAATCATTGTGATCCGAGGTTTGATGCCTATATGTTGTTATAAGAATTTTATTTTTAATATATTTTATTGATTTTTTACAGAGAGGAAGAGAGAGAGATAAAGAGTTAGAAACATCGATGAGAGAGAAACATTAATCAGCTGCCTCCTGCACATCTCCCACTGGGAATGTGCCCGCAATCAAGGTACATGCCCTTGACCGGAATTGAACCTGCGACCTTTCAGTCCACAGGCCAACGCTCTATCCACTGAGCCAAACCGGTTTCAGCGTTGTTATAAGAATTTTAAAAGTTGTACCCTGTATATTTAGCTTTGTGATCCATTTTGAGTTCATTTTTGTGTAGGGTTTGAGGACGGAGTCCAGCCTCTTTGTTTTGCATGTGGATATTCAGTTGTTTCTACACCATTTGTTGAAAAGACTGTTCTGTCTCCATTGAATAGTATAAGTACACTAGTCAAAAATCAATGGAGTGTAAATGTGAGGGTTTATTTCTGGACTCTAAATTCTGTCCATTGATTTGTAAGTCTATCCTCATACCAGTAACACAGTGTAGATTACTGGAGCTTTGCAGCAAGTTTTGAAATTAAGTGTGAACCCTCAAGCTTTGTTTTTCTTATTTAAGATTTTTTTGGCTATTTCTGGTCCCTTGGCTTTCCATGTGAATTTTAGGATCAGTGCTCGCTTTGACAGCACATATACTAAAATTGGAACGGTACAGAGAAGATTAGCATGGTCCCTGCGCAAGGATGACACGCAAATTCATGAAGTGTTCCATGTTAAAAAAAAAATTAGGATCAGTTTTTCCATTTTTACAAAGTACCTAGCTGGAATATTGATAGGGGTTGTGTTGAATCTGTGGATCAATTTGGGGACTTTTGCCATCTTAGCAATGTTTAGTCTTCCAATCCACGAATATGGGGTGTCTTTTTATTTATTTAGATCTTTAATTTCTTTCAACAATTTTTGTAGTTTTCAGAGTTTAAGTTTTGCACTTTTTTGTTAAAAAAGTATTCTTTTGATATTGTAAATTGTTTCCTTAATTTTATTTTTGGATTGTTCATTGCTAGTATATGGAAATACAGTTTATTTTTATAGCATGATCTGGTAACTTACAACCTTGCTAAACTTGTTTACTAGCTCTAATAAGTTTTTTAGTGGACTCCTTGGGATTTTCCATATATAAGACCATGTCATCTGCAAATAGAGATAGTTTTATTTATTTATTTCCAATTAGGATGCCTTTTATGTCCTCTTTTTTTCCTGGCTAGAACTCCAGTACAGTGTTGAATAGAATTGGTGAGAGTGGACATTCTTGTCTTCTTCCAGTTCTTAGGGGAAAGCACTCAATCTTTTCATCATTAAATATGATGTAAGATACGGGTTTTTCATAGATGCCCATCATCAGATTGAGGAAATTCCCTTCTATTTCTAGTTTGTTGAGTGTTTTTGTTATGAAAGGGTGTTGGATTTTGTCAAATACTTTTCTGAATATATATTGAGGTTATTATGTGGTTTTTGTCTTTTATTCTATTGGAATGGTGTATTGAATAAATTGATTTTCAGAAGTTAAACCAACCTTGTATTCTTGGGGTCAGTTTCATTTGGTCATGATGATAATTCTCTTTATACATTACTGGATCCAGTTTGCTAGTATTTTATTGAAGAGTTTTACATCTTATATCCTAAGGGATAGCAGCCTGTAGTTTTCTTTTCCTATGGTGTTTTTGTCTGTTTTGGGTATTAGGGTAATACTGGCTTCTTGAACCAATTGGGAAGTGTTCCCTAGTGAAGAACTGATATTCTTTCTTTTTCTTTCCTGTGTGTGTGTGTGTTAATCCTCACCTGTGAATATTTTTTACCATTGATTTTAAAAAATATATAATTTTATTGATTTCAGACAGGAAGGGAGCTGGAGAGATAGAATCTTCAATGATGTGAGAAATCATTGATCAGCTGCCTCCTGCATGCCCCCCACTGGGGATTGAGCCCACAACCTGGGCATGTGCCCTGACCAGGAATCGAACCATGACCTCCTGGTTCATAGGTTGACGCTCAACCACCAAGCCACACTGACCAGACTCCCACTGATTTTTAGAGAGAGTGGAAGGGAGGGATGGGGGCGGAGAAAGAGAGAGGAAGAGAGAGACATTGATGTGAGAGAGACACATTGATCGGTTACCTCCTGCACGTGCCCCCGACCAGGGCTGGGGAAATGGACCTGCAACCGAGATATGTGCCCTTGACCAGGAATCAAACTCGTGACCCTTTGCTGCTCAGGCCGATGCTCTACCACTGAGCCACACCGGCCAGGGCTATTTCTTTAAATGTTCAATAGAATTCATCAGTGAAGCCATCCGGGCCCGGGTTTTTCATTGAGAGAAGTTTTAAAATTACTAATTCAATCTCTTGTTTTAATTTTACTCAGATTTTCCATTTCGTCTTAGTTTGGGTGGTTTGTGTTTTTCTAAGAATTTGTGCATTTCATCTAGGCTATTCAGTTTGTTGGCATAGCATTCTCTTATAGTCTTTATTTCTGTAAGGTTGGTAGTATTGTCCTCTCTTTCATTCCTGATTTTAGTAATTTGAATCTTGTCCCTTTTTCTCTTGGTCAGTCTAGATAAAGGTTTGTCAATTTTGTTGATCTTTTCAAAGAACCAACTTTTGGTTTTGTTGATTTTTCTCTATTTTTTTTCTATTTCATTAATTTTTCCACTCTAATCTTTATTTCCTTCCTTTTACTTGCTTTA